TTCTACTTCCTATTTCTGAAACTCAAATACATCCATCCACCTTAGGCTTAGTCACTGACTACATGAAAACAAGTTACAAGTGCTCAGAGCTCAGCCCTGCCCATGACAATCTGACTTCAAGCACAGATAAAACAAATCCAATGTCACTGTGAGCGACTGTTCCTAGGCTGCTGAGCAGGAACACCTGGCACCAGCACTTTCCTAGAAGCCTTTTCTTCCTTCCAAATCTCCATAACTTGGAGAACTGTCCAAGTACACTCAGTACAAAGAACAAAGGTGTTAAATGTTCTCTCTGGACAGTTTTACCACTCTCCACCATTCCCACCATATGGTGAATGCTCAAAGGAATGCCCAGAGAAACTGTGGCTGCCCCATCCCTGGCAGTGGTCAAAGCCAGGTTGGATGAGGCTTGGAGCAGCCTGGGCTCGTGGGAGGTGTCTCTGTCCATGCCAGTGGATTGGAACTGGATGATCTTTAAGGTCCATTCCAACCCAAACCATTTTGGGATTCTGCAATTCTATAAATGGACGTTAAGAGAGAGGACAGTGTTTGAAGCATCCCTGGCATTTGGCAGGGATTTTCCCTTCCCTATCAACACAGCACAAAGAAAAATTAACACCAGCACCCACACTATCAGGGAGAACAAGCTAAAAGCTCAACCTTATTACTACCACAGGAACGTATCAGCCTAGTGTTAGACAAAACAGCCCAAGAACTGCACAAAATCATCTTTTCTGCCTTTAACAGTAGCCAAGAAGACTGAACAGAAATTTAAACCAAGCCCTTGCCTTAAGCCCTGGTGTTTAGCATTCCTCAGGGAGATGTCCTGCAATTACACCATGATTTTAGCTTCTAACACATCAGCCACCCAAATTCCCAACCCGTCCCACAACTTCCCAGCTCTGAGCAGCCACATGCAAAACACAAAAGGATGGAAGCAGGCACAGCTTCCCACAGCCCAGCTTTGCCTCCCTTGGTCCATGGCCATCAGCTGCTCCCTGGGAAGGAAAGAGGCTGTACGGAACAGGCAGCAGTCGCCTGGGAGCTTGGGACACCTTCCCTAGAGCACGCGGGCAAATCTGAAGCCGCGTTCGTTCGTCTGCAAGTTAATTATTAAGTGTTTTTACTCCTGCAGAATTCCTGCCCATCCAGCACCATGGCAACAGCTTTATCCCCCTCCTTGGCAGCAGCGTTGCTGCAGTAACAGTGTCCATGACTCATCTGGAGCAGAGGAGAGCCAAGCAGAACCTCCAAAGAGGAGTAAACCCCGGGTAGAATCCCCACCAGGCTCCTGCTCATTGATGTTTGCACCCCTACACTGTATTTTCCAACTCTTTTTGCCCTGAAAATATTTTAAACACGGGTTTGTTTTTTTGTTTTACAATCAACATGCAAGTATCCAACTGGATGACATCCGGGAAGATCAGCTGCCAGAATACTGCAATCAAGTGTTTTTTGCTCCTCTGGCAGTGCCCAGTCTCCTAGAAGGGAAAAAAAACAGAGGAATATATGTTCCTCTCAGTCTGTATTACATTTGTTTCTGCCATTCCTGTTGAGAAATCAATCAAAGCAGCCACGTGCTGTTTTTTCCCCATACATAACAGGAGCCTGAGGCTGCACTGGAAGGACTTATTGGGAATGGGCTGTTTGCAATTGGCAGATCCTTCTGCTTAGCTGAGCACTGTCAGATTTGCTAATCTCATCCCATACACACTTATTTTTAAATTACTGTAGGGCCCAGTTGCCCACACTTCCGTGACGCACTCAAATGTATCATCTGCTTTCCTTATCCTAATTCACTGTCTCCACAATTTGGGGAATGGAGGCAGCATCCATGGTTATTTTAGTTAGGCATGAGGCAGCTCTAACCTCTGTTGAGGGGATCATTACAAGGATGGTGGGTTGGTCTCTCAGGGCAGAATGTTTTCATGTTTCTTCCACTTCCCCTGGAGCAGGTTGTGCTGTTCCCCACTAAGAACTGAATAATAATCTTGGTATGTTCCTGATCAAGTCTTCAGTACTCACCTGATTTAGGGATGACCGACCATACTCTGAGCAAGAGATAAAGGGATGGACACATCAGCACTGCCTTGAAAAACCCATCAGATTCCACATTAGGTAGTGCAGAAATTGGTCACCAAAGAGAAGCACTTCCTACTCCTTCCTAAAACCCAGGGAATGGCCATATCCCAGTCTCCATCCCCAAACTCCTCCTGGAAAGAGTTCACCAACTGAGTTGAACTTGACCTCAAAGCAAAGAGCAAACCCTTGCAACCTGCCTAAGCCTGGTATTAGCAGCCACTTCTCACTCACACATCACCATTCCTGATGGTGCCTCTTCAGCTTCTTTCCCATAATCTCTGGATCATGCTCAAAGACCTGCAACTCCACACTAAGAGGGACATTTTCTATCTTAACACCTACCATGCTTTTAAAGAGTTTGGATCACAACTAACAACACTGTGGTGGTCTGAGGAAGTGGCAGAGGGGATGAACTTCCAGGCACAATGGATGCCTTCATGAATTCTCCTATTCCCTTTGTATGAAAAAGTGATTCCAGAAAGACCCCAAACAGTCCAGCGGTCTCTAGCTTTCTTCTCAGTGGCTGCTCCTTCCATGCCACAGTTCTGAGGCGGTTCCTCTGCTGCCTAATCCAGAGAAGACCAAGTTCTCATCCAGGAAACCTTCCTTCCCTTCCAAACCCAACCAAGATTGCAAAATAAACCAGCAGAACAGCCTAGACAGTGCCAACAGGCACTGCCTATGAACACTGGCACATCCTGAACCCTGGTGCATATTTCCAGGCATGTATTTTAGCTGCTGGTGTTACAGAGGAGGACAAAAGGTGAGGGATAACACAGTGCCAAATAATACAAGTAGAAAGGCAACAAAAGCACTTTCTCCTCTGTCCCTCTTCCTGTTATTTCTATTATCCAACAGATGAGATTAAGTGTTTGATCCTCATCAGAGAAAGCTAAAAATTGATCCTATATTTCCCAATTTCCTATGCAACCACCCTAAAGGGCACATTTTGTCATGAGGAGTTCATGGGCAATAGAATTCACACACTCCTTGTTGTGCTTCTTTCAAGATCCCTTTTCCAGCTCTGCAATCAGGAGAAAGCACGTGTCCCCTCTCACAGACACTGAGGATATTTCTGTGGTGCTCGTCAGAGTCTAAGCTCAGATTGGGCAGCTCCTATTTTAGGGCTTTAAGAGCCCACAAAGGAAAGCAGAGTGCACCCAGGGTAAGACAGAACTCAAAATCTGGTCCTGAAAACAGGGGTAAATCAGGAGGATGCTGTACAAGAAACCAATGCAAAAGCAGTGACTTGTAACAGGATTTCTCTCCCCAATAACAAGAATTAAGGGAATGAATGAGAAGGCTCCTCTAGCTATGCAGATCTTAACATGCATTACCCAACAAGGTCAGGTGCTATTTTGAAGACAACTCCCAAGACATAAGCCAGGTATAAAGCAAAGACAACTGCAGAGGAATTGCCAGGAGCTGGAGATTAGGAGATTATCAGATTGAAGAGTCTCAAGAGGAAGCAAGCAAAAATAGCCAAACCCCGTGAGGATGCCGAGCAGTGACGCAGGACAGAGTGCAGGACCTCGAGGGGAAGGCAGGGCAGTTTCAGGTGGTATTGATACACCTGCCCAGAAAACCAGTTCAATTAAAAAAAAAAAGCCCCAAAACATAAAGCATTTCCCTGCCCTCTCTCTCAGCAGTTCAAATCCTGTACAACTCAGCCAGGCAGGATCCAGGATCCACTCCATTTCTGAAGCCATAGGGTCTGGATAAGCAAAGACCAGAGGGTACATGGGGAGGGAGGTATCTGCAGCCCTCCTGCCTAGCTCCGGAATTAGGCTGCTGTGATGCCCCAGAGGAAAAATCCTGCACTAGAAGGATCCCACAGGAGTTTTTCCTGCAGTGGCATATTTACTGACCCACACTGAATCA